AATCATCCACCTGAGCTACAAATCTTCTCTATTATATCTAGACCTTGAATATATCAAGAGTTGCGAACTCAGTAATATCGACAATAATACTAATGCTAATTATAGTAACAACAATAATAATAATAACAATCAATAATTTCAATCTTAAAACGATCTAAGATAATGGTAATGACAAAAAAATGAGTTTCAATGAATCCGAAGTAGTAATACTAAGAGGGAGTATCAAATATTCATTATTCATAACAATAACAGTAATACTAACAACAGTTAATGAATAAGATATATTTCCTTGGAAGATTCACAGTGACTATCATTTCCTTTTGTTGTACACAGAGACCTGGTTTATAAACTCTAATTGCACAGGCCTCCGCTATTGCAAGCATCCTCCCGTTTCTTTGTCTACTGACATCAGTGAATGACTTGACAGCATCAATATCGCGTCTGTAGTCCACAAGATGTTTTGTTATTGAACTTTTCAGGCAATCAGACTTTGGTTGTTTTAAACCAACTCGGCAAATGCTCCATTATGCGAATAAATAATCCTCGCCTTTCTGAAGTACACATATATATTACATTTGTTCGTGGAAGCATCAACCAGCTCAGGCTACACAACTGAATTAAAATAATTATTATTGATTATTGTTGTCACTATTATTAGCATTAGTTTAATCGTCAATATTACTGAGTTCGCAATTCTTGATATATTCAAGGTCTTTCACTCACTGATAACTAATTGTTTATTTTAGTGGTATAATTGAACTGTAATGCATTTTAATCTTAATTTTATATCGTTGAGTGTAGAGTATCAAGCTGTAGATTTCTACGGAGATTTGATGAATTCATTAAATCCTGCTTTAATTAACTTTTGTTGCTTGTTCCCTTAATTTGAACAAATCAAGGACAACTAACGTACCAGGACAATATGAGCTCATTCTCTGGTGTTTCGCGGTTTCTTCTCAGCTAACTACAAACTGAACAATTCAGAATTATGTCAATGATTTGAACATACTTTTTATGCTTTGAAGAAGAGTAACTGGCAGGAACTTATGGCACACCCAATCCCCTAAGTGTGTGGGTATGACCCAGAATAGAGTCTCTATCAGGTTTCCAGTTTACTGTGATTGATTTGTTATAGAGTCAGCCTTTTGGCCAATGCTATACAGTGTGCAGATAGTAAGGCTCGCTGTTAACATAGGGAGTATAACCTGCCCACAATTTGGGTTGATATGATTTGATCGGGGAAGTGTTCTCACCTTGCCTTGGAGTCGGCCCCACTCGATTCTTCAACCTTGTGGAGAATGGTCAACTTGATGGATGGATCAGGTCTTTTCAGATCCAGGACATCGGTATGATGCCTTCATTCAGGTGTGATGTCTCTTGAGCAGTTGCTCTGTCTCACCTTTTGTGACAGAACACATCTCGTCACCCGTTGGTGTTCTCTTCTCCATCATGCTTTGATGTTGACCACCTATTATCCACCTGGGCTATGTGGGAGGTTCAGACAAAGTTATCGTCGCCTTGCACATGTTTTGCGACTACTTCTGTTGTTGGTTGCTACACTTTTCACTTTTGAGGAGAATAGGCGTACTGCAGGTTGGGGTTTCTAATAACGTCACCAGAAGGCAATAGACAGACCTTGCAGTGATGCTAACAGCATCATTAGTATCGCAACAATGGTTGTTGCCCTCCTGAGATGATGGAATTTCACTATCAGAAAGCTTCTGTTCCGCGTTAGCCATCACGATAGCCTCTTGTACGAAACGTTCTTGCCAGCTGAAACAGTTTGTATGCAGCCAGTATACTAGAAACCAGAGTCAGGTTGGTGTATATCTTGTGAAATCACTGACCGGAGTTATCACATTGCATATTGTCTTCTAGTGCGTCAGTGGTTCAGCGGTAGGACACTCACCAACCATCCTCGACCGACTCACTCATAAACTTCATTAAGCCAGTAGTAAGGCCGGCAAAGAAGCGAGGTTGGACATGCAGCTAGCCACCCTACCCTGCAGAAATACAACCATTGCTACCGAAACTTCAAAGCTCTAGCTTGAAGCCTTATGTTCCACTCGGAACGTAAAGGAATAAAATGAAATGGGAATAAAATACCATCTCCTACTGCGAAGTAAACGATTGGCCTCCCATGACTGCCCCTCTGGTAATCAATTTCTAAGGAGAGGAAAGAGGCCTTATTGTAGAAAAAGATCGCAGCTGTGAACTAAAGACGAAATCGAACTACCATAACACACAACCAAAAGTTTATTTAAAAAGAGCTTGAAAGTGTATACCACTGATTGATTGAGATGGGTAGGTTTATACCACTCACACTAACCAGTAATGCTGCGAAAATTTGATCCTTTTTAAGGAAGATTGAACCTACACTGTACTGTGTATCGAAACAGTTAATAAAGACCGAAGCTTACCATCTTTCATAATCTCCTAACTGTAATCCTTATCGTCAGTCAAACAGTACAACACCCGGTCTCAAATAAATCAATAAGTTTGCAAAAGTTAATTTCAGATAGCATATTTAATCGGCCCTAACACATTCACATAGAATTGTTCATGAATAATAGTTGATGCAGAAAGAAACTTCATGACAAAAAATTGTTTAAACCATTATATTTTTATTATCATTATTATTATTAATGAACAAACATATACAAACATGTCAGAGCTGGTTAAATAAGTAGTCTGAAATCAAATTTCGCGAATTTATTGATTTATTTGAGACCGGGCCTTGCATTGCATGTTAGAATATAAATCGATTTTATGAAAATAATCTCAGATTGTAGTAACACTTCTAATTATTATCTGTGGACAAAGATCGTCATCATCAGCTGACCGACTCGAATGTCTAAAAACTGGAATCTGAACATCACAGGACGTGTAAATTGTCCACGAGGGCAGAGCCGTTAAACTCTCAATGTAGTGTAGGTTGCAGGTAAACACAATCAAATGTAACAAACTACAATGTCTAAGAAACAGCTATTTTATCATTTCAATACAAAAATTAATCAAGATAATGGTGACATTGAGCTTACATTGTTCAGATTCTAATGGGTCACTCTAGTTAAAGGATTAGAAGTGTATTCCCAGTCTAAAAACATCTTAATTATTTCGAATCAGGTATTCTTTTATTATGTTATTCCATTAGGTTCCTAGTGGAATATATAGGGCGTCAACGGCAGGCACATCACCATTTTGTCCTTTTCTTTGCAGCTCTCTTTATCTGGCTCCACGATTGTCCATAAGCCTTCATCTCCTTCTCCTCCTCACAATATCTCCTCCATATCACTCCTGGACGCCGAACTCGTCGTTTCCAACTGGAGTCACAATAACAGCAAATTTATTCACTCGGGTTAACAATCTTCTCCATTATCCTTAAAGTCATTCTCTCGTGACAAATTTCAGAGATAATTTATAGCCAGGATAAAATGAAGAAAATGTACGCTGCTTTGCTGTTCTTGAAATATGTCTTAAGGATAAATTTTCAATCAGTGCAAACCTAGACAGTTTATATATTTTGTTCTTTTGATTTATTTCTTATATCTGAATGAAATCTTTCAAATGAATTTCACGACTTCAATGAACTCTTGATGATACAAAATTTTTAATTTATTCTAAAACAGTATTTACACTACACAACATGCATAAATTATTGAAAAAGTAAGTGTCGATAAAGAAAGGAAGACGAAATTTGCAGTATAAAATGATATCATCATTCTATTTCACAGGTTCTCTCTCATCAGCTGCAGACTACCTGAAATTACAATGGTTATATAGGTGAGGTGATAATGACATACTTTAATGTTTGAGTGGTAGTAGAGAAGAGATACTATAAAAGTGACGCATCTAAAATGAAAGCATTACAATTTTTAGTTTAAGTTTTCATGATGAATTTATACACTTTCAAAGTTGAAAAGACGTGGGGGGAGGGGTAAGACAGAAAACAGAAACAATTAATCAACAGAACAGTGTTAGCTTGTAGGTTCACATAGCAACTCAAAAAACAAAAGCGGTTGCAGTTTATAAGATTAAGATTTGTTCATTGAATTGAGATCACTGAATTAGATGACTGATTAATGCAATAAAAATCAAAAAATTCAGTTACTAAGGGAGTGGGAGGTTAATCACACTCTCTTTCTGTGTGCATAAATCTGGTTAAAATCCTTTGATTGCTATCGCTTCGGGAAATCGTAGTGAACTTATTTAATATTTTGAAGGACTTAGAAATCCCTACGAGATGTCCGGTATCAACAGTATGTCTGGTAATGCACTCTGAGAATATATGCTTCCTTTTAGGCACAGGTTTCTTGAAATATGTTAAGAAAGCCGGATAGAAGCCTTTCTTTCCGTCCTTCTGGTGTACTTGCTCCCGCAAGTGCACGAAAATTCATAAACGCAGTTGGAGGTGACATCAGCAAGTGTAACCGCTTTTGCTTTTTGAGTTACTATGTGAACCTACAAGCTAACACTGTTCTGTTGATTAATTATTTCTGTTTTCTGTCTTACCCCTCCTCCCACCTCTTTTCAACTTTGAAAGTGTATAAATTGATGATGAAAACTTAAACTAAGAATTGTAATGCTTTCATTTTCGATGCGTCACTTTTATAGTATCTCTTCTCTACTACCACTCAAACATTAATTTTTTCTTATTTTTTATTTTGATTACAGCTTGATTCCACACCGTATTTTCAGTACAAGTGTGGAATTTTCAGCACGGATATCGGTAGCCCAAATTTTGCAGCCGACCATAGATATCGGGTATGCGTCGGCAGGGGATCGTACTCGGACCATGTACATGGTCGGCAAGAGTCCTAACCACTGTGCCACCGACGCAAATTATTATTATCACCTATATAACCATTGTAATTTCAGGTAGTCTGCAGCTGATCAGAGAGAACCTGTGAAGTAGAATGATGATATCATTTTGTACTGCTAATTTCGTCTGCCTTTCTTCATTGAAATTTATCAAGGGTACCAAATGTAGAAAATAAGTGTTTTGTAAAACTTTTATTCAGAAAACAAATCAGCTTATTAGTTTTTCCAAATCATTCTGTCCCTGTATTATGCAAATTAAAAAGTAAAGAATATATTTGAATTTCAGAATCTACAGCATTTCAGCTCACTCCTGTTTGAAAACTAAGACGTCATATTGATTCGCTCTATGTTCTTCCACTTTTCCTCCTGTCCATGTGAAACAGGCATATTTGTCACCTTCTTGCAACTGAATGTGTAGATAAGAAACATGAAACATTTTTTAGCTCAAATGATAATTCAATGCAATAATTGGTGAGCTTATTAAATATAAAGTTAGAAATATGCGCTTTCAGTTACCGAAACAGTTAAGGAAGTCTCATAGCCTTTGCTGAATGTAGCACGTCAATCTAAAGTTTTCTTGTGAGTATCACCGTGATTTGAGAAAGCGTTATTGTGTTCACATGCTCCGTCAAGTTGATGGTGTTCCGATGGGAAGCCATTTTGGACAATGGAAGGGTCTATATTTAACAAGTCTTCATGGACTTGTCAGTACATACATCTTAAAAGTTTTGTTACAATCCAATATAAAAAGAACTTAGTCAGACTACTGTTCGACAGAGCACGATAAATTTGTTCTCACAGTACACTTGAACATCAAAATAAAAACTCTGAAGGATGCCTTACCTAAGAAGGGATCTCCTGAGAAGTTCATCAATAAATACTCTAAAGAAATGAGCACCAGTAAAACTACCCAAACAGTTACAAAAAACATGTGTATATATCAATCTGTCGTTTAAAGGCGGTGACGAACAAGAAGTAGTCAAACGCGGACTCGACAAAGTTGTCAGGAGAATTTATTATGCTGCAAAATTCGGCCTGCCTAACATCGACAAGTGGATGCTTCAACAGTGGCGAAAAGACTGGTCGCCAATCCTTGACACTTCAAACTGCGGGAATCAATTCCGGTGTGTTTGGGGAAGGAAATACATAGGTCGTACAGCAAGGCGATTTTCTACTAGAATGTGGTGGAGCATTTGCCGAGGTGGTTGAAAACAACCAAAGTCTGAGTGCCTGAAATGTTCAATAAAAAAACATCTTGTGGACTACAGACATGATAATGACGCTGTCAAGTCATTCACTGATGTCAGCAGACAAAGAAACAGGAGGATGCTTGCAATATCGGAGGCTGGCAATATTGTCCTATCATAACTATCACCTTGTTGTGTAATGCCTTAATTGTTTACCAATCTTATTATTTCACTTGTTCTGATTTTCTATATATTCTAATGGGAATTTTCCACGAATTAAAATATATGACAATAATAACACGTCTTCATATAAAACATTTCAAAAGACAGTTATACATTTTACTTGTCATTGCATCAACTCACTTTGCCAATAGATGGTTCACAATTTATCATAGCTTTAACAATATATAATGCCTTATCACCTTTCATTCCTGCAACTATAGCATTTTTTGGCACTTTTCCATCACTGTCTGGTATCCACTCATAACTATTCAATAGAAATCAATAAATGTAAAGAAGAAACAAAGAAAAGATGAATACACACACACATATCATGGGGTGAAACAAGTGTCAAAACCTTCTTATTTGTCACATACTAGATGAATGAAGTAAGAAGTGATCCCAGAAGACTTCTGACATCATCAAAACTACAAATGCTTTTGTGCAGGACAGTCGCCTGTGTTGCTCTACTTCATTGCAGTATACAAAACAAAATGACATTCAGTTAGTTTCATAAATTCGATAGATACAGAAGATAATGGTACTGCTGGCCAGAGTGTTCTATGTAAACAGTTAACACAGGTGGATGGTTGAGTCATTTACTTATCAGTAGGATGACAATGTTTTCAACACCAAGATTATCTGTTATTCATTTCTTTCATCTTGTCTTCTGTCTGCTTTCAGTGGTATGAAAGCGCCATCTTAGTAGTCAGTAAGACGAGCGTTTGTCCTGATATTTGTGGTCTATAATAAGCGTCGTTTGCATTCATCCTGCTTCTGATAAGTTTTTGGGTGTAGAAGTTTTCTCTCTGGTGCTAACATGCTTTCTTTTTCTCATTTCAGAGTAGCAACAGAACTCCGTAAATTGGATGTAATCGATCCAACTATAAAAATGTCCCACTTTTTACATTTCTCTCATAGAATCAGTATCCTCGTGACAGCTGCTACTAGGATCGTAGGTTCCCGGTATCTCAAAAGCCTTCTAAGCTGGATGCACCTTGCAGTGCATCGTCTAATGATTTATTCGTCAGTAGGACGCACATGTTTCCAACATCAAGATTTTCTGTCTTTATTCACAATTTTCAATTTGTCTTCTAACTATTTTAAGTGTCGGCCAGCAAAAGATAATTCTGAATTATTAGATCATGGGAGCATACAGACGGTCTTTCCACTACTTCAGTGACATTTCAAATGAAGTATGAATTAGTTACTTCAGAAACATAACAAATCATGAATTCATGCATTCAGTTCGAATATTCGCCGCTGACCTTAGTATTGGGCATATTTGCAGAGGTAGTCCGACACTCCACTACCTGAGCTATGAGATGCGATTTTTAACCAGGTCATCATTTCACTGCACTCACCATGATTAACGCTCTAATGTTATGTGGTTGAATGGTATTTTACACTCCACTCAAAATCACCTAAGCTGTCAACCTAAGTATTCTAATGTAGTGCACCTTCTAATGTTTGAAGTTTCTGTTTTAACATGTACACATACAGACTAGCTCGAACACCATTTTATTTGGTTTTCCCTTGTACTTGCTGTTAACACGCACATTCTCTGAGTTTGTAATTCAGTCATATTAGCGAGATAAGTTCGAAATCCATTTCCCTAAATAATTTTGATTATTTTAATATTTTACTCATATTCATTGATTATCAGAGCACATTACTAATATTAAGTGAGTCTTTTAATTTGTGTTTTGTCTTCAGTACTTACAAGTTAGGTAGAGTACTAATTTACTGAACAACTAGACAAGTTATGTTAGGTAACAGCTGGCAAATTGTAGCTGATCAATAGCACTACAAGCACCCTATAAGTGTACAAAGATAGTTTCGATCCACCGTATCGACGATATTTCAAATAAAGTATGATTTGGTTACTTCAAAATTGTGATAATTGGCGAATTCTTGCATTAAGTTCAAATATTCCTCGCTTGCCTTAGCATTTTGGTACATTTGTAAGGCAAGTCCGAAACTCTACTATTTGAACCTTGAGATGCAACTTGTAACCTGGTCATCGTTTCAGTGTAATCACCAGGAGTAATGCTTAGATGAATGAAGGAAATGTTACTATCCGTTTAAAATCATACTAGCCTCGTTCATTGAGTCTTCTAATGTCGATCGTAGTTATACAAAATTAGAAGGCGACGAGCGAGTTATCAACCAATGGTGAGATTATCTTAGATAGCAAACATTTATCAATATGATATGTGGTGATTGAAGGTGAAATGAAAATCTGCGTCATGACAAAATTCAAATCACAGCCTCATTTCATTTCCAAGCACCACTCTCTCTCTCTCTCTCACATTAGTAACATCTTACCAACACAAGCCTATCTGAATAGCTACATCAATATTTGAATTAGTTCAGACTAACAGCAGCTAGCATTTTACCGATTATGTGGTTTGCAAACCATGAATTAATATAGAATCAAGATCGAGTTTTGCAACTAATTACAATATCTTCTTCTACTACTTTCTCTTTGTATTTCCGAGAGTATCTTAAATGAAATCTTGTCCACTTTATCCAAAGTAAAGTCGAAGTAGTTCAACACAAACTTCCAGAAATACTGAATCTGACCAAGTAGAGTCGCAAGTTGGTTACATGATTTCATCATGAGCTGACATGGGTTAAAGAACCATCAGAAAACCTGCATGGAGTACTGGACAACTATGTCGTCCTGGTTTGGAGCTCTTCAGCAGTATGCACACACCACCAGGGTTCGAATCTAGGGCATTCTAGCTACAAGGCGAGCTTGTAGACCCTTCAACGACTAAGAACCGATCCAATCGCCTATGAATTCCAACTTCTGCCAATTGACGAAATAGTGCGACCCACAACCTAGTGTCTTCGGCGAGTATTTTTCCTCACTTCCGACCTGCTGCACTCTACGGGTTACGACTTCCCACTAGAATCCAAGGTAATTATCTACCTGAACAGGACCTGTCGCTTGTAAGCAGCTCAGTACTACAAGATTTTCCAGATGTTCTTTAACCGATGTCACCTCATGATGGAATCCTGTAACCAATCAATCAAATCCCTACAAATCAATACTTGAAGAAATTCTCAAGCTTGAATGTATTTGTGCTAAGTCTAAAAACTTACAGCAACATTGTTACTGTGATTGCATCTATAGATAATATGACCAGACGAAAGTGAATCGTGAAGTCTCAACATACAAATCAAATCATTGAAAATTGAGTTTAGGACAGATAAAGTTCCTACAGTATCGTTTATTATTCCGTAAGTGACATTGCAGTAAGAGCATTGGTTTCTTTTATCAAAATTTGCGTAGTCACTGTAACCATATTCCCTACAGCGGAATGCAGCATACTTTGCAGATGACAATTTAAAACAGTGACAGATAAGATATAAGTCGTCTAGGATACAGTCGTAAATCACTGTGGTGTAGGTGTGGAACTATTATTCAGCAACCTAGATCTACAATTTTATTTCCAGTCAGAATTATTCGCTGTAATTCATAAACACTGATAACCAGCTATCTGCACATGTTGAGAAACTTCTTCTGAAAGGTTTTTACACCTGACATCTGAAATATTGGTTCAGAATCTGCACTCCACCGATCACATATATATACACATATACTTTATCTAAAAGTTCTTTGAAACTATAAAATTTACCACTCTTTTGTATCCGAGATACCAGTTTCGCACAAAAGTTCAAATTCTTTGCTGCTTAGCTGTTTACCATCGTCTGCATAATAACATACTTTATATCCTTCAACAGCATTTCCAGGAACCCAGTGACCGCCATGCTTGCAACGAGCTACATAGTAATAAAATGGAACACAAACTGCATTTTTAGGTATACGACCATTCCTTGCTGGAATCCATGAAAGTCCGACTTGAATACCTCGACCAGTTTTGGCCATGTGAGTGGATCAACCTGTGAGATAGAAAGAGTTTATTTCAAATGAACTGTCGTCAATATTTGACAGAATAGTTCTAAAATATTTGGGCGCCGAGTGAGAAGTAGACATTTGTAAAATATTATATTTGTAAAATCTCAGCGAGATTGAAATGAGTAATTCCAACGTTTCGTTCGGCAATCTGGTCCGAACTTCTTCGAGGAAATTAATCGAAATTAACATAACAGAGGTTTATATATAAAAAGGAACATCACTTGTTTTTGAAAATTTGTCCAATCATGAGTCATTCAACAAGTATAATAAACAAAATTTTATGAGATGTGATCAAAATTTGACCTCGGACTTACAAATATTGGTCTACCTTTGTTAAACACTTTAAACAGAGTGTGTATGTGTGTGTGGGTAAAACGGTTGTAAAACATTTCTTAACGTTTCCATAAGAAGATATGGACAGTTGAGAATTTTGACCAAGTATTAATAATTAGTGATACATATCCATTTTTTATTTATTAGTAAGGATTTCCTGCTTTAAAGCAGCTCAATCTTCAGAAAGAAGGCAGATTGATAAGTCCGACAGGGTGCTTCTACTAAACTTCAATCCTAAACACCATAATTTTGAAAATACGTCTAATCATAAAATTCTAGATACTAACAGTTTGAGCAGAAATGAAGGCGTGATGTTAGCTGATGCATGGGAAATCCTTACTAATAAATAAAAAATGGATATGTATCACTAATTATTAATACTTGGTCAAAATTCTCAACTGTCCATATCTTCTTATGGAAACGTTAAGAAATGTTTTACAACCGTTTTACCCACACACACATACACACTCTGTTTAAAGTGTTTAACAAAGGTAGACCAATATTTGTAAGTCCGAGGTCAAATTTTGATCACATCTCATAAAATTTTGTTTATTATACTTGTTGAATGACTCATGATTGGACAAATTTTCAAAAACAAGTGATGTTCCTTTTTATATATAAACCTCTGTTATGTTAATTTCGATTAATTTCCTCGAAGAAGTTCGGACCAGATTGCCGAACGAAACGTTGGAATTACTCATTTCAATCTCGCTGAGACTTTACAAATATAATTTTTTACAAAGAGTTTATTTGTTTCATGATTTCCCACGACAGTCAGTATCAGAACAGAAAAGTTCAATGGAAAGTCTGTGTCAAGTACTAACTCAACTGATCTGGAAGACACACACGCTGTTTTCTGTCTGTAGCATTGTTCAACAGAAGCGACTTGCATGTTAATTCTAATTGATTGAGGTATGAAGACCAATGCACTGCTCATTTCATGATTTGTGATTATCACCTATCTACTCAAGAATGCCACTCAATAACGTTTTTCAACCTGGTTATCATTAAACACTAAGTACAATGATTGATTATGCATTTGTAAGGAATCTGACGGATATTGCAAGCTAATCTTAACTTATCCTAATATACCATTCAATCGGGATAGATGTAAGTAGGAATTCTTTCTGAATTACATACGAACCATATGATGGAGAAGGATGAATTAGTTAGACACGGACGGTATCTTCTGAAAATCACGACTATAATTCTAATCTATAAATTGGAGTGAAAGATCACGCAAATATTGTTTCAGGAAATATCAGTTAGCAAAATAAACAATTCTCTTGTGGTCGTTTAAACGTCTAACGTGTTCGTAAGCCCAATATGATTCTCAGTAGTTTCAATCACAAATTCTATGATTTCAAAATCACATTTAATGAATTCGGCATAACATTATCACTGGAACAACTGGAACTCACTGCCACAGTTGGAGAAAACCGATCCAATGCCTCCTTTTCTTCATGCTATGCTCACAACGGATTCTTAGCTACATATTTGAAATTATCACCAATGTGAAATGTATTCTTAATGAATCCGTTAACTTGATTAACGAGACTTACATAATCTCAAACACTGAGTGGTGTGATCGCAAATACTCATCATAAAATCTTATGCACTTGGAGTCAGGAGTATTATTCATAAGATAAATAGGTTCAGAACAACAGTGAGGATTTTGTTTCCTTAAAGTTTTGAGTTTACAAAAACCAAAAATTTAGATGGAGATGGACTATATACCGAAATTATTATGTCTCAACTAATAAACCGACCTGACTTCACTGACATCACTGCACTAAGATGGGATTGGACATACCACTTGTGTATACACAGTTCAGGGGCTTCCCTGATAGGTAGCAAGAGCTTATTGATATAAGAATAAAACTTGTGCACTGTGGTAGAGTGAAATTCCATTATGGGTTAATTTTGTTTTGATAAAGTCTCACAGTGTAATACAGTAATGTTTACTGATGACGTTTCGAGCACAATTTATTGCTCATAGCTGGGTAGCTGGGAAAATATGGCTCTTAATACGTTTAATTCTACTCCAAAAATATGGTGGAGATATGTGGATGACACTTTCACAGTGTTAAAAACAGAACATATCTCTAGCTTCTTGACACACATAAACTCACTAGTGGAGGGAATAAAATTCACATTTGAAACTGAAAATGAGCAAGGAGAATTAGCTATGTTAGATTGTAAAATAAAACGAATAGAAGAAGGCAAACTACACAGTAGTGTTTATAGAAAACCAACGCATTCTAATAGATATTTAGACTTTAATTCACCTCATCCTTTAACTGTTAAGGCAGGCTTAGTTAAGTGTCTAACAAACTGAGCAATGGCACTAAGTAGCACAAAAAAGGACCTAAATGACGAAATAAAACAGATAGAAGAAGCGTTGGTGTTGAATAACTATCCTGTAAAATTCATTAGGAAGATTGAAAAAGGCCAAAAGAAAAATAAAAAGAATTGTGTAACTAGTAAGAATAAAATAAATAAGAGAGAATAAAAGGCATCTACAGTTATACCATATAAGGAGGGACATCTGAGACCCTACGTAGGATTCTAAATAAAGCAGGAATTAGGGTGGCATTTAAACCTACAAACTCACTCAGGGACAAGCTCTGTAGGTTAAAGGACCCAGTTGACCCAATTAGACAAAATAATATGATTCAGAAAATACCCTGCAATGACTGTGAGTTAGGTCAACTACATAGGTCAAACTAGTAGGTCAGGGGTAGTCAGATTGTCGGAACATAAGAATTTAGCTAAGGTAAGAATGGTTGACCCATCCAAGAAGATAAGTAATTTAGAAAAAAGCTCAGCAATTGCAATGGTGGGAGAGGGTCAAAATTCTAGAAAGTAATCTAGGCAGGTAAAGAGAGAGGTTGATTGCTGAATCCTTGTTCATCGAATCTACACCCAACACAAGCATTAGGAATGATTCATCACTCATACCTGAAATATGGAAATTATTACTACCAATCAAATCAAGAGAAAAACAATGGAACTATATAAATGAATTTAGGAAGTCGTGTGATTACCTTGATATGATTATGAGCAAAAAATTGTGCTCGAGACGTCATCAGTAAACATTACTGTATAACACTGTGAGACTTTATCAAAACAAAATTTATCCATAAGGGAATAGCAAGAGCTTAGACTGTAAACGAAAGACACAGCCTCAGTCTATTCGAAAACCTTCACTCTGGCCAATAAATTACTTTGAAATACTCACTTATTCAGGCAAAATGGTGAGTAAGTACAACGTGGTGAAGTATTCGACTATTGTTTGGTATCATTTCTCATCCTGACAAACGTATATATGTATAGTTCACATTCCGAATCTCTTACTCTTTTGAGCAATATCTGTTTCAAAGTAATCACAGCCTTAGTTTCCACCACTTCTGTAAGCAGCTCATCACTACTTAGTATTTCGAAACTTCCAAAGGACATAACTAACAGATCAATAAAATGAAACATGAATTAAGATTAGTCAATAAAGAAAAAATGACTAACCAATTAGAAATCAATTACAACATGTGAAACCATACCTATATCTTTCGTCAGCAAACATAATACTCACCTTTAGACATCCATTTATATACTGACCATGTTTATTGTCTGTCTAACCATCAATGCTGTCATATGACAATTCGATACACATTAACAAGGTCGTTGTTCAACTGATACAAAACAACAAATAGTATTGTTTGACTACACACAGCGTAATCCCGCAAATTTCAAATAACTTGTTTATAAGTTGTAGACTGGATAATGCGACAAACAGCGGGCAATGAGGAAACAGGCATAAAATGGACTCACACAAAAAACTTGGAGGATCTGGACTTCGCCGATGATATATGCCTGATTTCCCACAAACTGGAAGATATGCAAGTGAAAAGTAACAAGTTGGCAGAAGAAGCATCAAAGATAGGACTCCAGGTGAACATAGAAAAAACAGAGGTGATGAAGATCCCTGGCCAACACCAACAACAACAACAGACAGCAATCAGCATAAATGGAAAAAACCTGAAAGAAACTACCTCCTTTACCTACTTGGGAAGCATTGTTTCAACTACAGGCGGAACTGACGAGGATATCAAAGCAAGGATCGGGAAAGCAAGGCAAGCTTTCATTACTCTGAAGTCTGTGTGGAGGACAACATCATTCAGCGTCAAAAATAAGATCGGGATTTTCAACTCCAATGTGAAGTCAGTACTACTATACGGATCAGAGACTTGGCGTGTCACAAAGAGCACCTCAAACAAGCTACAGACCTTCATTAACAGATGTCTTCGCTCAATACTCAAGATCAGATGGCCGGAAAGGATCAGCAACAAAGATCTCTGGGAGCGAACCAACCAGGAACCCATTGTGAAACAAATAAGCAGGAAAAAATGGAGATGGATTGGCCACACTCTGAGGAAACCAGCAAGTGACATCACTAGACAAGCCCTCGAGTGGAACCCGAAAGGGAAGCGGCGAGTTGGTCGTCCAAGGGTGACCTGGAGGAGATCATGTGAAGAGGAGATGAAAGCATGTGGGCAGACCTGGAGCCAGGTGAAAACTCTAGCAGAGAATCGAACGCAATGGAGACGCATGGCTGAAGCCCTATATTCCTCTAGGAACTAAAGGAAATAATAATAATAATAAATATTTAAGAATCTATTTAAATAAAGTACTTATGCATACACGTAAAATTGTGAAAACCTACATTCACGAAATTACTATTCACATGTTCAGTTGTATATACAAAAGACAGAGAACTGATACAGATAAAACTGTAGATAATTCTATGGAGGCCTTTATGTCAGAGACTTCACCTAAGGAATAAAAACTACAGTGTAGTACGATCAATGAATAATGACAAGTAAAAGAATGTGCAATCATCGATTCCAATAGTTCCAGGTAACAATTCTATACTTTCAAATTATCTCCCGAAATAGTTTTGAAATATGTACTACTGGCTGATATGTGTGGTTGGAAGTTGCTCATGTCGACCAGTTGAACGTATTAGCCAGACTGAAATGAACTACACACTGAACATCTGTTTTGGTTCGTTTGAAGTCGACTACATTAGTGGTGTGCTTGAATAGAACCAACTCAGATAACTGGATTCAGCTGAAGCCATCCGAATTCTTGTCAACTCTGCTGAGGGTGAGGTAGTTGTACAGAGAACTAAATTCGTCATTGGAAAATCAAACTATTCGATATGGGAATCACTTCTAGAATATAGTCGAGTCAAGAAATAAACTAATTTCTCATAGAGCATGTATTTCGTAGTAGAAAGTTGACAAAACGTTTATATGAGAGGTGTATGTAGTGTAGCCACGAAATACATAAACCATCATCTGACATGTCAAATATTATCCTACATTTCTGGGAACTTCTGATAGAAGTCATTTCAAGTTCACCAGATTTTCAACCATGTAACACTGATTCAAATGAACTGTCGTCAAGATTTGACCGAATAGTTCTAAAATATTTGGGCGCCGAGTGAGAAGTAGACATTTGTAAAAAATTATATTTGTAATATCTCAGCGACACTGAAATAAGTAATTCCAACGTTTCGTTCGGCAATCTGGTCCGAACTTCTTCAGGGAAATTAATCAAAATTAACATAACAGAGGTTTTACATATAAAAGGCACATCTTTTGTTTTTAAAAACTTTGTCCAATCATGATTCATAAACACAAGTATTAACAAGTATAATAAACAAAATTGTATGAGCTGTGATCAAAATTTGACCTCGGACTTACAAATATTGGTCTACCTTTGTTAAACACTTTAAACAGAGTGTGCATGCATGTGTGTGTAAATAGCTGTGAAACATTTCTTAACGTCTCCATAGGAAGATATAGACAGTCAGGAATTTGACCAAGTATTATTAATTAGTCTTACATATCCGCGTTGGAATTACTTATTTCAATATCGCTGAGATTTAACAAATATAATTTTTTACAAATGTCATGTAACACTGAATTTATGAAAAGCAAGCAAAGTTTGTCATTCACGTTCACAACGGATTAGCTTATGTAACAGAGACAAGAATGCGTTGTATTTCATTTGCCACTAAATTTTAGCCGACAGTCGTTCAGAAGAGATTTTAGCTCACCTATATTAACTCTAACTGTACGTTTGTGAAACTTATTCATGTACGCATATTATACGCTTACAGAGTCTTACTTTACATATGATTGTGGAATATATTCGCCTTTGTTTTTGTTGATTTCACACTAGTCAGTAACTAGTGTAATGTGTCTAGTCCTATCTTTGCTGCAGACTGAATTCGATCAGTCAAGCTTGAAATGTGGCTCGCCATTGCGGTGCACTGTGAATTGTTGGTATTAGATGATTGGAGGCAATTGGCATGAAGCCTTAGACTAGACACATTACACTAGTTACTGACTAGTGTGCAATCAAAAATATCCAATACAGTCCTACAGGAGGTCAATCGCGAGCCCAAATAGCTCAGTGGTAACGTCTCTGACTGCAGCACTGGATGACGGGGTTTCGAATCTCAGAAGGGAGTTCCCTCAACGTTGCAGATACGTCTTGCTGACTGGTGAGTGTTAACTAGCAGGAAGCCTAGGTCGAAGGCTTCCTGTGGCCGATTGCCTCCAATCATCTAATACCAACAGTATTTTCAGTTGTATCATTGAACATTACTTTTCGTTTGTTAAATATACATCCTTTCTTTCTTTTTTTCTTTTTCTTTTGATTACTGCTTGATGCCACACCGTATTTTCAGTACAAGTATGGCATTTTCGGCATGGATATCGGTAGCCCAAATTTTGCAGGCCGACCATAGATATCGGGTGTGCGTCGGTAAGGGTTCGAACCCCGGACGATGTGCATGGTCGGCCAGATTCCTAACCACTGTGCCACCGACGCACATCCTAAGTGGTTATACAATTTTCGTCCGCCTCACGATCTTGGAAATTCAATTTCGTTAACAATTTATCTTTCCCAGCTTTTGCTTGTTCTTCTCAATACAACATTGTTCGTCCTTGACCGTGTGCAGTGTTAGCACATCGTAGAACGTGACAACGTGGATGTACTATAGTATTATAATCGGGATCATATTTAGTATCCTATAAGACTGCCATCTGAATTCATCGTTTTGGTACGTTGGAAGAAGAAATTATTAAACCCAGCTTCAGTCAGCTTATACGAAATCAAAAATACTTCTAATTCTGGTTAATTTAAGCGGGTCTGTGTTTCACATTTCTGAAACTGTTTTCGTTGGGAAAAAGTGAGGGCAACTTCACGAGATTTCGATATCATTTTCAACTTTCTTGTTGAGGTGTTTTGCACAGATTACTAGACGCGTTGACCAAATTCTGGGAAGCAGTTTTACTTGATTCTATTGAGATAATTTCTGATGTTTATCTCCTGATACCTTTTTAAACTGAAGCTAAATACAACGACTAAAACACACTTTATTACCACTGTGGACCCTCCTGTTTTGAATTATTTCTTGGTAATCAATACTTCTTTACAAGTGTTAGGTAGCGGCCTATCTTAAATGCTGTGGTTAGTCTCGATGTGTATACAGAGATGGCATGTAATGCATGCAGTGACGCACAGTTAATCCCCCGTGTTTACCTTTTCAGTGAACGGATTGTAAATTGTGACTTTTCACAAAGGCACACATGTTCGATGTTTTTTAAATTTTTAATGAAATGAATCTTAACTGTACTTTGGATTTATAGATCCAAAGATCATTTACAATGATATACTGTGGAACGATGAATAATCAAAAACTGAGTGTCCTCCTGGAATACGACTATCTTATCTGTAAAGTGATTAAGTATCAGATCACTTTCTCCTTTTGCCTTTCTTAACTAACTTTGTGAATGAAATAACTGTTATTCAGCTCAAATTGACAATTGTTGCCATTAACGCACGGCACGATTTCACTACCAGGTATTATTTCCTTTTATTGATTTTATACATTTTCTTCTTCCGAAGCAGCGAAATGGACACTAGATAGCCTCAATAAGGCGTAACTATTATTAAGTTGAAACTATTCGAAGCCGATATTAGAAAGGAATTCCTTTACAATGTGTTCAGCGAGACTCTTGTTTATTTTGTATGGGGGATTTCATCATGAGATGACATCAGTTAGAGAACCACTGGAAAACCAGCTGAGAGCACTGGACAGCTGTTTCGTCATAGTTCGGGACTCTTCATAAGTACGCACCTACTGTGATTGGAACCCAGGACCAGTAGGCTACAGCAGGTTGAAGATGAGGCAGTAACTCATCGAGGAAGACATTGTGAAATGGTCGCGCTATGTCGTGAATTGGCAGAAGTTAGAATTCAAGGACCATTGGATCAGGTCCGAAGGTTTCAATGGTTACGAGCTCTCTGGCCTTATAACCAGAAGGTTCTGGGTTCGAACCCCGCAGTGTGGGTGCTTACTGCTGTAGAGTCACAAACTAGGCGGACGGAGGGAAAAGCTGTCCAGTACTCCCACATTTTTCAGTGGTTCTCTAACTGATTTCACCTCATGACGAAATCGTCCATATAATCAAACAAAATCCCTACAAAACCAATACAC